CATTTGATCTTGATTTTCATAGTCACATTCCTAACAAACTAATTAATTTATATTTTTTATCTACATTATCTGACTGATTTTTTTATGATATAATTAATATAATATCTTAACTAATTAATCATTTATCTAACTAGATTTATCTCTATAACAAACTTGCTAATTTTGTTGAAATTAAAATGGTATGATTGTTCTTACGAAGATACTTACCAATATATTAAACATTTAGAAACATTTTTTACAAAAATGAGTTATCCCTCCTTTTACTTTATTTGAAATTCTAAGTTATATTTTTAAATATATCATTATTTATTTTTTTCTTACATGTAAATATTTATTATTTATTATCTAAGTGATAAATATTATTTTTTCTACGATTGTATTTTTTAATTTTAAAACTTATCGACCTATTGAACAATTTCCACAACATAAACTTTATTTTGTAATTGAACAAATTCCACATTATTAGGGATGCATTTAATGATTCGACTTAATGTTTTAAACTATCTTCGATGCTATGCCAAATTTTTAATTTGTTTGATAGTCAACCTAATAATTGTTGTATGTAATTTTTGTTTTATTTGGAGAAAATTGTGAAATATAGAATATCAAAAAGTGAGAAGGGAGAGAAAGTAGAAGGAATCAAGGAATCATTAAATTATGTTTCTATCTATAAATGATTGAACTCACTATTAAAGAAGTGACACGATTCAAACTAAAAATATACTTTATTAGTATACCTCAGAATGTAAAATAACTATCTACATAAAATAGGAATGAAAAAGGTAAACTTGAAATAAATATAATTTATAATATAGTTGGAAATTAGAAAAGTTGTCCAAGCGTGGGGCAATTTTTTTGGCGACAACAATCAGCATCCGCAGCCCAGGAAAGAAGCCCAACAAGGGAGCCCAGTAGAGTGAAACCCAGTTTCCGCAGCCCTTTGTGCAGCCTGCATCCGGCCCCAGTCGGCCCGTGCTCCTCACAATGAGTAATTACCCAATAATCAAATTCATAATGTTGTGACAAAAAAATTTTAATAATATAAATTTTTTTGGTGACGAACATTTATGATGAATAATGTTCGTATGTATTAAACTCTCATATATCCTAATGCATGTCAAATTATAATATTCTCCAAATTTATATACTCGTGCATCGCACGGGATATGCACTAGTTTGATTGAAAGTACGTAGCAAATAGTTAATTTCCAAAGAAGCAAATGAAGGAAAAGGGAAAAATAAGAATAAAAAGGAGAAATATAAATAAAAACGAAAAAATAAAAAAAAAATAAAAAAAAAAATAAAAAGAAAGAAAGAGCGCCTAAATAGGAGAGAGCAAGTGCGATAAAATCTTCTATGAAAAGGACCAAAAGGATTTGATTACGTTTGACTAAATATTGAAAGCATTTGAAACATTTATTAATTGATTAATTAGTCAATAATTCCACACAAAACTTTTACTCTTTAAATTGGATTTATTTAATTATCTACTCCATGATGATTACACCAAATTGAACACTGCTATACGAAAAGAATATTGTGATGCAATGTAATTAATAATATCATCACCAATAATGCAAGCTATAATATTAGCAAAATATATTATTACTTATATACATATGATACAATTACTAAAATTTAATAATATAAATGTATAATGATGAGAAATGCTGTTCACTACTCCACTTCATGTAGCACTTTGAAAACATGAATACAATGATGTTACATAACGCGTAAAGAGATACTATTTCTTAATTACAGCTAGTTAAATAGTGATTTTTTAAATTTATATTTTAATAAGGGCATATAGCATTCACTATTTATAATGGCTATACTTTATTTTTCCCAAGACGAAAAATAATATTATAAATCAAAATGAATAAATGTGCGAATACACAGTTCTAGTTGAATGGAATATCCAACAACTGAAAAAATGGAAGGACAGGTCAGAAGACCACTTAGAATCCTGATACCAGCAGAGCTAGAATAACAACACTCGCAACTACGCTAACCGAACTACACTAACAAAAAACAGAAACTACTATAAAAATATCCCACCAGAATAATACACGAGCATCCGATCCCAACAAGATAATAAGTTGACACTCAGACTCAGAGGGACAAACGACTCATACTTAAAACACAAATACAATTTACAAACACAAACACAAACACATACATCACAAAACAAAAACGACAAAATAACAAACTAATAACTAATACTCCCAACTATTTTTAATATATGTCGTTTCAAGAAGTTGCACATTAATTAAGAATATTTTTTTGTCAATAATAATCTTATTTAATGAAGATAGAGATGAGTGTTTTGAGAAAAAGTGAATAGTTAATATGAAAAGACGTAATGTATTTATTAGCTAAATGAGAGTAATAATGGAAAAATATGTACAAAAGATCTAAAACGACATTTATTTGGCAAATAGTTGATAAAGCTAGAATGACATTTAAAAAAAATAGGAGGGAGTAATGGCTATACTTGGGAATACTCTTTCTTTTTTCTTTTTATATCCTTTGTATGCAAAAATTCATCTTTCTTGAGAAATTTTACGTTGGTTCATTTGTTATTTGAAGAGAATATGAGAAAAAATTTTAACTCAAAATAATCCGTAGCTCACTTCCTCTAAACCTCAAAAAATAAAGATTAGGATGGAAAAAAAAAACTAGAATTATATTAATTTAACTCTTACTTTTAAATAATTTCATACAATTGTAACTTTAAAAAAATATGACATTTGATAATATAAATTTAAATTTTAAAAAAAAAATTGCCTTTTTTTCCTGTCAATTCATTTTTTTATATTCCTTCTATTAAAATCCTCCAATCTAACGTCACTATATCCAACACACATTGCATCACAACCAAAAATTGGAAAATGCTATAGTTTGTTTATGGAACCATCCCGTCGAGTGTTTTAATCATTAGATCATCTATCTTATACTTACTATATGTGTATCTAATAGTTATAACTCTAGACGGGATGGTTCCGTAACGGGACCGAAAATTACTCCTCAATAATTACAAAAAAAAAAAAAAAAAACATATATTATTTAAATTGAAAAATTCTAATAAGAGAACACGAAGCTTGTGGTACAAGCATCAAAAAATAACAACTGGCCTCCATGAAGAAAACCAAAGCCCCACAAGCAACAAAGCGCGACAATCTATTCTCCTCATAATCGTAAATTAATTTCCTTTTCCACTCGTCAGCATGACGTCATCGCTGCAGGATGTGAACAAATATGGACGGACCCAATAATAATAATAAATAGAATTATATTTAATTTGCGGATATGATTTGTACAGCTCAAATCGAAAATAGTTTTTTTGGTAACCGATTCCGGAGTTATGTCCCGACTAATTCGTTGGTCGACCCGAGTCGCAAACCTGGTAGTGGTGGGTGAGTCTCCCAACAAGGATTTTCTGCATCTACAATGACTCGAACACGAGACCTTGCTTAAGCGACATCAAATTGCTTACCATTTGAGTCAATTCCGATTGGTCAAATTGAAAATATTAATTTACACAAATTCAACAATTATATTTTTTAAAGGGGGGAATTCATCAGTTTCCGCGTGGAGAGATGAGGGAGACTGAACTGTACTTGAGAAGAACAAAAAAAAAATATATAAAAAAGAAATAAAAAAAAAGTTGATAGACAGAGAGGAATATTAAATTAATTTCGCTTTATTTTCTTTTCTAGATCAATTTAAAAACCTCCCTTATTTTCTGGGGCTAATCCAAAGGATAAAAAACAAAACAGCTTTCAAATTTTATTTTTTTTATTTTTTAAAATACTAGCAATATTTGTTTTGTCTTATACAATGTTTCAAATTTACTGAACCACAATTTTTTTGGTTCAATTTTCTCCATAAGGCTAAAATCAAGTAAAAATAAATTTGAGATTATAAGCTAGTTTGCTTGTCTACCAAATATAGTTATGTCCGAAAGTAGACTTAATATTATAATTTACACCGACTCTCTTTTTTTCTTACTGTTGCATTAGCTGAACACAATCTACTTTTGCTTCGATTGAGACCATTTTTTATTACACTGTCTTATTTATCAAATTCATGTAAATTTTTATTAAATAGGTTTAAACTATTGTGGATGCTCTTGTAATATCTATCTCATTTTTGCAGTAATTCTTCTGTGGTAGACCAAACTAATCATTCGGCAACAATACTCTTTTAATATAAAATGCTTTTATTAAAAATGTCACGCTTTAAACGATATAAAATAAATAAAATAATGATATTCTATCATATAAATACACATTTTTGTTCACAAAATATGATGGACCAACTGGAATAACGCTTAATTCGCCTTATACAATACTTTTTTTTCCCCCCTTTTTTAAGTGTTAGAATATCACTTTTAAATTGTCCCACATCGTTCACACTTGGGCTTCATATTAGTTATCCCCACTTTTAATGCGCTTCATGTTAGTGGGAACCGTCCGTTTTTCCCCAATTTCTTAAATTAGGAATTATGAACAGTAATATTAAGGAGCCAATTGTTGGCTCCGACGAAGCCAACAATTAATGGGACAGCTCCATGTGGGGCTGTCCCACATTGGAGCCATGTGGGACAATCTCACATGGACCTGTCTTATTGGTTGTTGGCTCTGTAATGGAGCCAATAATTGGCTCCTTAGCATTATTGTATCTTCAAGTTTCCCAAAATTGCCTCATCAGGACCTTTTTGCAATTACCCCGATTTAATTGCTTTGAATTTCAAATTTGTGTTGTGCCCCCACCACTTTTCACAATTTGCCCTTTTGACACCTAAGCCAAAACTCAAACAACACACACTACTTCATCTTTTTTCCTTTACACGGGGAAAGAATTTTCCAGTTATTCACACCATACATTCACACCACGTCCTTTTATCTTTTTTATTTATTTTTTGCCCCCTCTCATATAATAATACCACCAAACCCTTCTTCTCAGTTTTTTCCCTTTTCCCATTACTTTCACCATAAATGGATCATCATCAAGGCCTTCACGGCCATCATCATCATCATCATCTTCTGCATCATCAGTACTCTGCAGTTGGGCCGAACATCGACCAGGTGATTGGGCCGGCCGATAACAGGCTGCCCCAATGGAGCTTACAAGAAACCCAGGATTTCTTGGTTATCCGGGCCGAGCTGGACCAGGCTTTCATGGAAACCAAACGGAATAAGCTTCTTTGGGAGGTGATATCGGCCCGGATGAAGGAGAAGGGACATAATAGAAGCGCTGAGCAGTGCAAGTGCAAATGGAAAAATCTCGTCACGCGATACAAGGTATGTATATGTATATGTGTGTATATATATATATATATTTATATTTATATTTATGTTTTGAAAGAAATTAGAAATTGAGATTTTTATTTCATATAAGTGGCATTTTTTTGTTTATTTTATTTGATTAATATCTTTTCAACATGTGATTTTTTATTTTATATGAATTTATGTGAGTTTTTGAGGAATTACTAATTGAAATTATTTCTTTTTTTTATTATTATTTTCAATCTAATGTTGAAGTGTAATTATTTATTTATTTACTTATTTCAACGTATTGTTGATTAGATAATCATCTCTTGGTGCACGGATAAATTCGTAAAAATGTGTAATTTCTTTATATTTGTGTGAGTGTGTGGTGCCTTGTGCTAGCTTATCATTGTTTGGCCACATTTTATTATCCTTTTAACATATCAATAATTTTATATAATCAAGTAGCAAACTTACATAATTTATGTAATTACAAATGTGTTATTTCTTACACATCCAATACAAATGGAAACACAAGAAAAAAAGTGGTATTGTGAATGCACTAAAATTTTGACCCACTATATTTTGTGTCCACATTATTGCATATTTGATTATATGCAAACTAGGGATGTGAAACAATGGAGGTAGAAGGATTGAGGCAACAATTCCCATTCTACAACGAGCTCCAAACCATCTTCGCCGCTCGTATGCAGCGCATGCTCTGGCACGAGGCCGAAACTGGTGGTGGCGCTGGCGGCAGTAGCTCCCGACAGAGGTTAACTGTTGCCAGTGCCGCTTCCCAATTCTCCTCCGACGAGGAGGAGCCGCCGTACAACGAGGATGTCCCTAGCGAGGGTGATAAGGCAGGTGGGTCGGGTGGCCCGGTTAGAAATAAGAAGCGCAAGGCGAAAGCCTCGACTTCTAGTGCAGGTAATAACGGAAATACCCCTGTTCAGAACAACAACAACAACAGTTCTGCTGCTGTTCTGAACGGGATACGAGAGATGATGGAGGAGTACATGAGGCAACAAATGCTGATGGAGGCTCGGTGGATCGAGGCGTACGAGAGGCACGAGGTGGAAAGGCGGGCCAAGGAGGCGGAGTGGCGGGAGACGATGCAGGCGCTCGAAAACGAGCGGCTGGTGATGGAGAGTCGGTGGAGGGAAAGGGAGGCGGAAAGGAGGGAGAGGGAGGAGCAAAGGTCGCAGAAGAGGGACGCGCTTATCAATGCGCTTTTGAACAAGCTTAGGAGGGAAGAAGGCAACAACATGTGAAGAGGGAATTACTCAATTAACAATGGCTAGATTTCTTGTTTGTTACAAGTATGTTTTAGGTTGTTATAAAGTTTCCTCTCTTGGTATTGGGTTATTATGGTAAATCATCTTATGGGAAAAAGGGGATGAGATCATATGGGAATAAGTGTTCTCTTTGAACCTTTGGGGATTGGAGATTTTGTTTCTTGGAACTCATGTTTATATAGCTAGTTTGGTTTGTTTCTTGGATATATTAGACTATTAGTGGTACTTATATTAAGGCTAATTTCATGTCATAAATTTGTTATTTTGATTATTAGGTTCATTAATGTGTTGGGGCTCTTTTGTAATTAGGGGTTATATAAATTTTGTTTTTGTATTTAGCCTAATTATGAAATAGTTAGTTATCCACTTATCCTTCAAATTATAATCATTTTCCTCTAAAAAAAAATGACATTTTCTTTGATTGGCTATTTTGTGTTGCAAGAGTTTTGTGTTGATGTTATTTGCTAGTACGTAGGTTGGAATTTTCATTAGTGTATGATATGTAAGCTTTGAAATGTTCCAATTATATTATATTATAGGAATAAAAAGCAACACAATTGTTTAAAACTTTCAAGGGAACACATGTTCAAGTGCTTCCTACTTACGGGCAAATGAAAATTGCTCTTTGCGGACCCATTTGATCATATTCCTTACGATTATTTTCGCTTTTACATGGCTATATAATATAATAATTTATATGTTGGCTATTTTAATTCCAAAGTGGTTAAGTACAAGTTTTAGAAACAAGAAAGAATAATGATGGCAATTTACCCAATTATGGTTCATAAAATTAAACTCTCCATGTTGAACTTAGTACCATTCGGTCGGGGTTTGTAACCGTTAGATTATTATGTAATCGTCGGGGATAGTTGATCTAACGGTTACAAATTCCGACAGAATGGTTCCGTAACGGGACCATAGGATTTTCTTATACTTTATCTTTCTCAGTTATATACTTAAGTATTTCTTTTTCTTTTATATATATAAATTTAAGAAACTCAAGATTTTTTGGTGGATTAAGTTATTACATTAAAGATTATAAATTTACAGTTGGATGATAACATAAAAAGATAAAACCACAAACTTAAATAAAGACATGCATGTTATATTATCAAATATCAGCCTTTTATTTGTATTAATTAATTATTATCTATATATATTTATATATATTTTTTAATAAAAGTATGTATATATTTTTGTGAAAAACTAAATATAATTTAATTATTATATATGTCACACAATACTTTCTCTTGTATGCACTTACTTTACAAGTGTACGGCGGATATTGAAGCATGAAGGATCTCAATGCTTCAACGATTTTATTTGGTAAAATTGCACTATGATATACATGTCATAATGAGACCATTTTTGCTCTCATAATGTTGGAAATAAAGTATCAACTGTTTTCGTGTGGTTACGCGTAAAGTCAAATGAAGGTAACTGGGGGAATATTCTAGATTTTGAACACAGAAATGGATGCATCAATATCAGCATTCATGTTTAATAATTTATTTTATTTACCATGGGTTGACTCAAGTGGTAAGCACTTTGATGTCGCTTAAGTAAGGTCTCGAGTTCGAGTTCTTGTGGATGCAGAAAGCCCTTGTTGGGAGACTCACCCACCACTGCCAGGTATGCGACTTGGGTCGACCAACGGATTAGTCGGAGTATAGCTCTAGAACCGTGGCTGGCTACCAAAAAAAAAATTATTTTATTTTATTTTTTTCTAATTAAGGTGACCTAGACATTCACATTAGGGGCCATCATTATATAAGTAGGTAAATAACTAATATTTGTTAAAAAAAAAAATATGAAATTTTCAAACAGAATTGCACCAAAAAAAAAAAATGAATTGAATCGACTTGTTTTTTTTTTTTTTTTTTTTTTTTTTTTTTT